TTGTAGCTTTTTAATAGTCACATTTCATACAACTTGTACTTGAATTTCAAGAGAATATTAAAATTTCTGTTACATCATATTGCAACAAAAAAAAAATTAATTGGTATGTTTTTCTTTACATGCAGGAGAGTTGTTTTGTTGCTAGAATGCGTAATTTTTAATATAACAAATCCATTTTTGGGTACAACTTTATTTTCTTGTCACTATAATCATAAAATAAAGTCTATTTCCTCTCAAATTTTTTGTCACATACAAAAAATGTATACTTCTATACAAATTTTCACCCCCGTTTTCCCCCCTTAAAATGTGAAAATTCAAAAACCCTGAAACACATAATTTTTGATTTTTAGTCAGTAGCTGTAATTCAAATTTTTATGTTTCAAACTTTAAATAACAAAAAAATATACACATACTATTAAACAAATTTTCACCCCCCATTTCCCCCCTTAAAATGTTGGAATGCAAAAATCCTCAAACACTTCATTATTTATTTATTTATTATGAGAACCTACAATTTCGATTTTCAAGCTCCTACCTTAAAAAAATCGATATTTCCAAATAAACTTTCACTCCCCCGTTTCCCCCCCCTTAAAATGTGAAAATCCAAAAACCCTAAAACACGTTATTATTAATTTGTACTCATTAGCTGCAATTCCAATTTTCATGTTTTTAACTTTAAAAAGTACCAAAAACATAGATACCCCCAAATAAATTTTTACCCCTCCATCTCCCCCCTTAAGATGTGAAAATCCAAAAACCCTGAAACACGTCATTAATAATTTGTAGTCAGTAGCTGCAATTCCAATTTTCATGTTTCTAACTTCATAGAGAACAAAAAAAATCGATAGTCCTTTACAAACTTTCACCCCCCGTTTCCCCCCATAAAATGTAAAAAATCCAAATACCCTGAAACACGTCATTATTTATTTATGCTCAGTAGCTGTAATTTAAATTTTCATGTTTCTAACTTTAAAGAACAAAGAGTTTAATTAAAAGCTCCCCCTCTTTTCCTCCCATTTCCCCCCCTTTAAAGTTAAAATTTCCAAAAATCCTTTCTTAGCGGATGCTTACGTTATAAAATAAACCTATGTTCCAAATTTCAGCTTTCTAGGCTCAGTAGTTTTGGCTGTACGCTGATAGGTCAGTCAGTCAGTCAGTCAGTTAGTCAGGACAAACAATTTTATATATATAGATAAAAGCAATCACACTGCAAGATAGGTATTATGTGGAGATCCTTCTAATTCCTAACTAGCCGATGATTGCTTTGACAAATAATTACCATACGAATTTCATAAAAAGATAAAGAGTATGTTTATACTAATCAATCTTCTCAGCCTAGAGATTTCAGATATCCTGTATCCTAACAGCTATATCATTACGTTAATAATGATTACATTATTACGTTACGTTGAGTCAACAAGTTTTGCATCTCTGCCTGGCAATAAAACATTTATACGGTTATTAAGTTTCTCAATGTGAATCTCTAAGAAGAAAGATTTATGTATATCCCAAAATAATTAACATGAGAAACTAGTTTGTAGGTATTAATTCACCGAAAATAAAGAAATTAATTTTGTTATAAACTCTAGGCGTGTGAAAATTATCGCCTAATTATTTTTGTTACTTCGAGCGGGAGGCATAATTGCATTTTTTTTTGAGGAAATTAGTGCACTAATGAGCACTCTTTAGGACTGTTAACGACAAAAAAATTGTTCACTAACAAGTGAAATAAGCATTAAATAAATTATATTGCGGCTTCGAGCGTACCATAAGACACAGAGACATGTAGAAATGTAAAACTGACATGTAGGTAGATGGAAGATAACTGAAAAATTGGAATTTAATATGAAAAACAAGCAAGATGCATCCGGGTGACTTTAACACCGACTGCAGCAAACAAATCAAGAAAATAACTACACTATAAATTTTGTTCAAAGGCCAACCTCGAAATAATGAGTGAAAATTTATTATTATTATAGTGTTCTTTTTTCATTAACTTCTAGTCTAGTTTATTTGAAAATGAATGATAAAATTTTTTTTTATAACCCAAGAGATAAACCAACCCCAATATAACATCATAAATCAGTGACGGAGAATTTCTTAAACAAAATGTTTAGCATTATTTATTCCAAAATAAAATCTTTGTTTTTAAAAATTCCAATTTATTTCAATTCTTGTCTTAAATTTTCTAATCATTTTAATCAACAAAAATAAGGTAAGTATGTAATCTTTACAGGTAGAAAATATTTACAATTTAAGTAGCCCTCAACTATGTTAGAAAGGAATAATATTTCTAATCGGCAGAAAGTGTTATGCAGATTGTAAATTATTTTAGTTAAGATTTACATTTGTTTGTATAGTCCTGTGATTGTAACACGTAGAATTGTTAGTTCTGTAGATAATAATAGACGATAAAAAGTAATACTGAACAAGTGAATTAATGCAATAAAAATGACACAAACGCCTAATTGGATCGGTCATTTGAGAAAAAGCACATGCCAGTTGTAGATCATTTTTCAAAAAATAATAAAAACTGAAAATCTCAAAACAGTTAAAAAAATACTGTTGAACACTTAGCGTTTAAAACTTTCTCTATTTTACGTATACCGGGTGTTCAAATTAAAGTGTTACAGTTAAATAATGCATTTTATAAAAAAAAGTATCAGACAAAAGTTTTATAATTTTTGGGCAGAAACAGTTTGGCTAAATTCATTTTTTTATAGCTGATCATAATATGGCCATATCGAGGTGAACTTTTTTTTCAAATTGGAATCCCATTTTTTTAATATCCTTAAAATTCTTAAAAAAAAATCAGAAACTTTTAAAAATAATATTTTTTTTATTGGACTATTGAAAAAGTTGCTACTCGAAAAAAATTTGCCATATTATGGTTAGCTATAAATAAACGATTTTAGCCAAAATGTTTTCCCCAAAAAATTATAAAACTTTCGTCTGAAACGTTTTTTTATAAAAGGCGGTATTTAACTGTAACACTTTAATTTGAACACCCAGTATTATACAATAATTATTTAAGCCACAAAAAAAATGTTTTCACCTTTGGGGTTCGGTAAGGACCAGATGGAACATGTAGTTAGAGTTATTACTAAAAGAACCAAAAACTTTTAAACACGAGATATTGGGAAGAGGTGGAATGGGGGTGCAGTTTAGGGGTTGAAAACGGTTTTTTGCGTTTTGCGACGAAACGTGAGCTCCTAGCGAAAAGTGCTCAATGCAAAAGTTGTATATAATGAAAAAATCTAAAACTTTTGTTTCAACATAATCAACATAATTTTTTGAATTTCAAAAAACGAGTAGTTTTCAAGATATTTGCATTTTTTCGAAAAAATTACTCGAAACTTCCATGGAAAATTTTATTGATGTTTTTTTCGAATTCAAGGTTTTATAAGGGCTTATTTTAACCGTTGAAATGTCTACTTTCAGATGGTCTATACATGTTGATAGTTTATTTTTGATGGAATCAATAAAAATTGAGAAAAACGAGTATTTTTTTTTTTTCGAAAATTGTAAATATCTCTGAAACTACTCGGTTTTTGAAATTCAAAAAGTTTATGCCTATTTAACTGTAAAAAAGTTTTAATTTCACCAAATTTCACGTAAATTAAATTATTTTTACGCTAGAAAAAATTAAAAACTAAAAATCGGTTTTCTGCCGATTTTCTCGGAAAATTTGAGGTTATGTTGAAAAATGTCATATACAAAAGTTTTAGATTTTTTCATTATCTACAACTTTTGTATTAAACAGTTTTCACTAGGAACTCACATTTCACCGCTAAACGCAAAAAACCGTTTTCAACCCTCAAACTGCACTTTTTCAATTTTAATATTATATTATAGTGATATTACATGTATTTCATTAAAACGTAAGCCATTATTAACAATAGAATGTAAAAAAATAAAGAGATAAAAATAAATAAAAATATTGAAAATTTTCTGATGCAAAATAAAAATTGAGAAAAACTAAAAAAGTTAATTTTTGCATCAATATTTTTAATTATTTTTGTAACTCTTTAATTTTTTTATATTCTGTAACTAATAATGGGTTACGTTTTAATGAAAAAACTTGAATACATGTAATATAACTATTTACAAGTTTATATGACACTAGTACCCGAAATAGAATCAAACAAATTTATATGCAATCACCCCGTATTTCTAAAAACGAAATATGAGTGTTTTATAAGAAAAGATAAATTTTACTTAAATCCCTTGGGGTTTGTTCATTTATATTTTATGATGTATTGTATTCGAGGTTTTTCAGGATGATCATACCAAATTCTAATGAAAATTCGGATAAGAAGGTATCAAGGTTTACTTTTTTCTGCTTTGAATAATCCTGTATACAGGGTGGGCTATTAGTGCGTGGGTAGAAGATTGCGGGTTTATTAAGGTACATTTTTAATATTCATTTTTGGAGCATGGTGTAGAACCTCTAAGGCTACAACCTAAAAATATTTTAGATGAAATTCCAATTGTTCTACAGGATGATTTATATCAAAGTTATGTTTTTTAATAAGAACCCCCTGTATATTATTGCATATTTGGATTCCTAAGTCAATTTTAGTGTGACTTTATGTATCACACATGGTATCTAAAATTATTTTTTCAAAAACTAGTAAAAATTGAATATCGCAGTTAATATAAAACTTAGAAGGTCGTGACTCTACAGTGTTATTAAGCATGAAATGTACTAACATTTGCCAGACGATCAAAGTCAAACCCTTTTCGTGTTTAAAGTAATTGCTACTACGCCAATTTGCAAAATTTCAATCCAAGGTAACTTGATTATTTTAAATGGGACTACCAATTTTTTTTCATTTCATTACGTGCAGAATTCGATTACCTTTCTAATGATATAAAAATATGTTGATATTTATCTTTTACAGATTTCTTTTTATATAAAAAAATCTAATAATTCTAATAATTTTATTAAAAAAAGAAAAACAAAACTTCCGTGAAATAAAAATAGTTGAAACACTTACCCGATGATCTGCATTGAGTCCAAACTTCATCCTAATAAACTTTTGTAAATGTTTCATGGAAACACCCGCGGGACACTGTAGGAACCGTTTATCACAATTTTTATTAACGTTTTCTGCGCCACTGTCTTTTTCACTGTTTTTTACATTTTCACTATTAGTCGTGTTCGTTATACCACTACCGTTATCAGAGTTCGTAGTTTTAGTTTCAGTATTTTCCAGTACGATCGGTTTCGATTTTTCTTCCACCTTGTCCGAGTTGTCCAAATGTACCTGATAGTACTCCAAGGACAATGATATTGAGTCTTCCGGACTGAAGAATTGAGTCTTATCGCCAAAATAATTTGAGTTCTGCGGACAAAGTAATAACAAGTGTCACTTCATATTCTACTTACGTACAAATCAAATAAAAAAAGCTATGATTGATATTTACAGTTTTACCGTTTGAACTACTTTGTATTCTTTAATTTATTAATCTGTACTTTCATTTATATGAAGTTTGAAAGTTATTGCTGAAAACTACTTGTTTGATGGTTAAGAGACTTTGAAAAATTAGAAGTTGGCGTCATTGTGCTTTAGAAATATTGGTGTAAAAACCATATATTTTATATAAAAACTAAGATACTCCTGCAATAAACAAGCCGATTTAAATAATGGTCAGTCAAGACAATATCAACTAAATCTGACAAGAACATAAATTATCTTTAGAAATCTGTACAGCATCATCAAAAGCTCGGGAAGCGCATCAAAGTGAAATAAATAAAATCGTCAACAATCGCACTCACCATCTCCTCTTGGTCATTTATCATATCTCGTTCCCTCTCGATGACGCTGTCATCGCTGCAAGAGCTCGATGCCCTGACGCCGGTGCTCCTGTAGAAATCCTCCCTCCGTTGGGATTCTTTGGCGAACAATGACGGCACCACTTTGTACACCAAAGATTGTGTCTGAGGATCGGCCCTGTAACATTTTAATTAATACCATTAGCTAATTGCTCGTTTATTGGACGCGGTAAGTCATCACGCTTTTTGTGAGGTTGTAGTATAGATATTGTATAACGAGGGTGGAAAGTGGCAGTTTTAAACGAGTTGTTACGACCACAAAAAATATTACCAAACCAATATAAGAATAACCAGGAACATGTAACGATTTTATTATTATTAATAAAGACAAAGGACGGTGTCCTATTGTTGCCCAGTACAAAAAAAGAGCAAATTAATTATCCTTTGGAAAAAACTATTAAATCAAGAAATGATTTTAAAATAAATCTAAAGGCTAAATACAAGTATAGTTCCAAAATAACGTCCGAAAATGAGGTACATGCAAATGTAAGTTCGAACATTGTTCAGGTGGTAAATCCAAAAATATATCATAATATCAAGTTGGTTAACTGGAACCTAGAGGTAACTGGGACCTATACTTCTAATTTTGTAATCCAATATTTTAAACTTCCCGCGCTTTGTAACATGACAGCTATCATCCCAAATCTTCCGTTGTATCTAGTTTTTAAGTTCTTGCTGTGAGTATCGTAACGAAAATATTCGTGTTAAAGTATTTTTTTGGTAGAATAACAACGTTAGGCACTGACGTATTAAAAAAATCGCAATAAGTACAATAATACATTTTTTAACATGAAAATCGGCCTGGCATAAGAAAAAACATCAAGGAGTAGAGGTGGGTAGAAAAAGACAAGACAACCCTTGGACAAAATTATATTTTCAAGTGAAGGTAAATTACGTGTAGTGATAATATGGGGTAGTACATCATTTGGTGGCTCGATGGTGTAGGCATTGGAGAAAGAGAGCGATAAGATCTCAGCTGTTTCGAAATTGGAGGAACATAAGCCTCCATCAGTTTTTTGAAGAAAAGGAGTGGTCACTTTGGATGAGAGAAAAGAACGATTTTTTTAGTATGGTCACTGTTAGCGATTGATTCTTTATAAGATTGTCTTGTAGCTGATTGGAAAATCTTCTGTGGCAGATGAAATCGTCGTTACCTTGTGTGTTTTTATAACTTCTCCATGCATTGCGTTTATGTTTTATCACTCCTAGTAGTTCTCAAGTGATCCAGGATATTAATTTGTCGCGATAAACTCTACGTTTAATAGTGTTTTTCTGAGAGAATTTGTGTAGTAATGTGAAATTTGTTCCACATAGATGAACAATCATTAGAGGCCAGCAGTAAGTTATCTCAATCAGTAATAGCAAGCGAATGATAAATTTTAGTGAAGTCAATGAATTCTAACGTTGAGAAATGTTCTTCCGATTTAGGAGAGGGTAGATTGAATTGTACGTGTGCCGTTATTACTGCGTGATAAAATTTTCCAATAGGGAGGACAATAATTGTGTGTTATTTGTAAAGAGAAGGTCGAGTGTTGAAGAATCATCATTGATTCGGAAGCGTGTTGGTTCAAGAATCAGTTGAGATAGTTTGGAATTTTGAAGAAAGTATCATAAAAAGATTTTTGGAGTTGTTGCCGTTGGGAAAATTGAAGTCTCCAATAATAATTGATGGGGTTAGAAGCAAAAGGGATCACGTGACATTTTTTTTAGTACTTATTTTGTTATTTAAAACTATTATTTTGTTGGTCGTAAAACGATACAAGTGATTTTTGATGTCTTAACGACATCTATCAGCTAGTAGAAAAAGCATGTTATTGAAAACGTTTAGTTTGTTCTGGGCAAGACGATTTAAGTGCATTTAACTCATAAAAAAATATCACTTGAACCCTTTTGCTTCTAACCCCTTCAATTCTGTTATCAAGAACAGATAGATCTTCAAGTTTTGATAGCAGCGTAATGGTGTCGTTTAGAAGAGTGTCACCGGATCGATAAATACATGCAAAATGTATAGCGGTTAAATGTTTAGTAATTTTTATACATATTACATTTATATTAAAGATTTTTATGTGTACAGAAGATACAGAGATATTATTTACAATATTTTTTGATAAGTAAATGCTAACGCCACCACCAATTCGGTTTTCTCGGTCGCTGCGGAAGATTGTGTACCCGTCGATATCAACTAGTGAGTCGGGAGTTGAGGTATTTAACCAGGTTTCACTGATAAGAATTATGTCAGGTTTAAGAAGTTGAACACGCACATAAATTCATTATATTTAGTGTGAATAGAACATAAATTAGTGTTTAAGAGAAACAGTCAACGAGGTAGGATGGAGAAAAGCTATCATTAGGCAGTTCATTGACATATTTGATGGTAAGGTTATCTTCGCCATTGTTTGTTCGGTTTTCTAGTTCCTTACGTAAGTCCAGATGGTACAGCTAGTTCTTTTTTTGATTTTTGTTTACCCTGTTGATTTTTATTAGTAAATAATTACAATAATACAATGCTGTTCATTAGTTTTTTTTTATCAGATATCTTATTATCCATGTCTAGGTTTTAGATGACGAAACTCAGCGATTTTTATAGTTAATTGTATCCTTGTAAATTTTACTAAATGTACCGAATCCTAGTAATGAAATAAATAGTTAAACACAAGTAGAAATCTGTAGATTAATAAGGTTTGCTGCTAAAGCTACTACAATTTTCTTCAGAACAAATTTATCTTTTAGTTTTTTGTTATACTATGTACTTGGAAATGTTTCAAATATCAATTTCCTTCTTAAGTAATTAGAATGATTTATCCCATTAACTTAACAAGCAATTTTAAATGAAAATGTTACTAGTAGTACAAAAACAAAATGAATAAAAATTAATGCCTAAGTAAAATGAATCAGTTTCAAGTATAAAAATGGTCGATAAAATATATTTAATGTAAATATAGAACTATCATTTTAAAGGCGATAAATACTTTTTACCTACAAGGTATTTCTACAAATAAAGACGTAGACGTAGAACATAAACCAATCGGTATTAAAGTACCCGAAGCTGTCGAACCTTATATTAAAATAAACAAGAAGCAAACATATACAGTGCACGAAAACTCGAATGAACATCGATAACATCACAAGAGACTTTATATCTGCAGCGGTAAAAACTTTACAATATCTTTGGGTCACGAATAACGCCATTAAATAACATAACTGTGGAAACGTATGTTAGAATACTCAAAGGAATATTTTTACTACGTGCATTATGACTTATTGGTTACTGAAAAGAAAGATCCTTAAACGAAAGTGTGAAAACAAAGTTGTACTAATAAATTGTGGATGCCCAGCTTAAAACTAAAACAAATAAGTATGATCAAAAGCATTTTTATTCATTTTTATTCATTTTTATTCATTTTTATTCATATTTATTCAATTTTATTCTTTTTTATTATTTTTATTAATTTTTATTAATTTAATTTTTATTAATTTTTATTAATTTTTATTAATTTTTATTAATTTTTATTAATTTTTATTAATTTTTATTAATTTTTATTAATTTTTATTAATTTTTATTAATTTTTATTAATTTTTATTAATTTTTATTAATTTTTATTAGTTTTTATTAATTTTTATTAATTTTTATTAATTTTTATTAATTTTTATTAATTTTTATTAATTTTTATTAATTTTTATTAATTTTTAATAATTTTTAATAATTTTTATTAATTTTTATTATTTTTTAATAATTTTTATTAATTTTTATTTATTTTTAATAATTTTTTATTTTTTTTTTAATTTTACTTTATTTTTATGATACTACCATACAAAAATCTAGAAACCACAGAGCACGTGCTTATTTATTTAGTCTACAATTATAATTTTCAAGTTCCAAGGTTCAAAAAATTTATACTTGTATACAAATTTTTACCCCCGTTTTCCCTCCTTAAAATATGAAAATCCAAAAACCATGAAACACATCATTTTCGATTTTTAACCAGTAGCTCTAATTCAAATTTTTATGTTTCATACTTTAAATAACAAAAAAATATATACATATTATTAAACAAATTTTCACCCCCATTTCCCCCCTTAAATTGTTAAAATGCAAAAACCCTAAAACACTTCATTATTTATTTATGATAAGAACCTACAATTCAAATTTTCAAGTCCCTATCTTTAAAAAAATCGATATTTCCAAATAAACTTTCACTCCCTGTTTCCCCCCCTTAAAATGTGAAAATCTAAAAACCCTAAAACACATCATTATTAATTTGTATTCATTAGCTGCAATTCCAATTTTCATGTTTCTAACTTTAAAGAGAACCAAAAACATAGATACTCCCAAATAATTTTTTATTCCCCATTTCCCCCGCTTAAAATGTAAAAATCCAAAAATCCTGAAACACGCCATTATTTATTTATGCTTAAGAGCTGTAATTTAAATTTTCGTATTTCTAACTTTAAAGAACAAAGAGTTTCATTAAAAGCTCCTTCCCCCCATTTCCTCCAATTTCCCCCCTTTAAAGTTAAAATTTCCAAAAATCCTTTCTTAGCGGATGGTTATGTTATAAAATAAACCTATGTTCCAAATTTCAGCTTTCTAGGCTCAGTAGTTTTGGCTGTACGCTGATAGGTCAGTCAGTCAGTCAGTCAGTCAGTCAGTCAGTCAGTCAGTCAGTCAGTCAGTCAGTCAGTCAGTCAGTCAGTCAGTCAGGACAAACAATTTTATATATATAGATTTAATAATAATTTATTATTATATATTTGTTATAATAATTTTTTTATTGTAATACATTATCTTAAATTTGTTAATATTAATTTGTTATTTCTTTTAAATTTATTATACAATAAAAGTTATTTATATATATTTTTTGTAAATTTGTTATTAATTACGTTGGCATTAATTTCAACACTAAATGATAGTGAGTTAAAAAAAAAACAAAAACAACAAAAGTAAATACAGCAGATCAGAAATGGATTTTTAAGAAAAATAAAAATCAAAATAGACAAAATTGGAAACTTACCTAAAACATGTTTGAGATTTTTTCTTGTATACGGTATTACAGATCGGGCAGCCAGTCTTACTGTTTTCAAAATGTCGAAGAATACATGCTCGGCAAACTGCAAAAAGATATTTAAAACATAAATAATATTTCACCTCAAAAAAAAAAAAACAGAAATAAGTTAATTAAAAATAATGCTGCGATTTCACACAAATAAACCAAATTAAAGTTCATACAATCAATATGAAATCATACGTAGCCATTATTCCACAACCCACATAAATGTATTTAAAATTCATTGAACTTTATCAAAATTCGTCGCTGTTGTCGACTACATAACGAAATATAGGAAATTCACATTCGATGTTGACTAAATAACTGTATTCAACACAAATAGTCAATTATGATTCAATTAGATCATATTACACTAATTGATTTATAACTGAAATCCTATATTATAGGAAATTATACAGCACTTTACTAATACGCCGTGATGAACGTTCCATTGGATGACATTTTGTATATTAATAATACGTTCAGGTTAAGTTGATTGATTTAAACATTTAATATTACAAGGATAACACCAAAAAATTGATGATAAAACGTTATTAAACCATATGGCTCTAAATGGTTCAAAAATTCAAAATATTTCGTACGTGACGTCATAGTTGCATCGCTAAAATTTAAACTGTTTAAAAAAGTCGAAAATATTTTAAACCAAACACTCGCTAAAAAATACCTTTGCATTTATTTAACTATTTCTCTGCTAATTTAACAGCCGCCATTTTAGTCCCATTTACTTCGAAAACTGCATGGAGACTGTTGCTTGACCAATGCTGTTACTGCTGATATTGTTCCGGTCTATATAAGATATGCAAATCAACCCAGTTAAATGGTAGAATTTGTTTACCGCATTGTAAGAGCAAAATTCACCTCATGTCCTAATTGTGGTAAAAAATATCGACCCCGAAACTATTCACTTATTAAAAGCTTAAAGATAACGTCTGTTAAACGAATTGACCGGTATCAATGATACCATGATATACAGTCTGTTCGCTATACTTATGAGGGTTTCGGATTAACAAAATTATGAAAATTAGTCATTAACAACCAGTTCCAATAAGCCGCTTCCCAAGAAATTAGGTAAAATTGCCCTATTGGTCAGATTTAAATTAAAATAACATTAGGGTAGGTACTAAATTTGTTACAAATATTGCAGTTGAATTGATTCTTTGCAAGTGTTGACATTGTAGGTATATTGTAAATTTAGTGGAAATTTTAAAAATGCCTAGACGTGTGTTAGATGTAGATAGTCTAATTTGTAGTGTACATAAGTATTTTACGGATGAAAAAGAAAATGACGGTTCTTTAAAATCGGTAATGTCTATACAACAACGCGTATGCGATGCTCTAGGAATTAGTGAAACCAAATTAAGAGGAGTATTACAAAATCACAATAGTGAACTGCCGAAAGAAGATCACTGCAAAACTCGCCCATCATTGAAAACGAAAGATATTCCAGATGGAAAGAAATTTGAAATTCGTGATATCATTTATCGAATGAGGGCCAACAAGCAACATGTGACCTTAAATACAATTCTCTCGGAATTAATAGATAGAAAATTTGACGACATTGGCAGAACAAGTCCATGGCAAGTAATACATAACTTGGGATGCAAATTTCAAAAGGAGGATAACAGAAAGGCCCTTTGTGAAAGAAGTTCTGTCGTGCACAAGAGAATTAACTTTCTAAGAAAATATTCTAAATTTAAAGAAGAAGGGGCGAATTTTATATATTTAGACGAAACATGGATATTTTCTAGGGGTGCAACCAAGTGAATATGGCAAGATGATAACGTAAAGTCCATCAAACATACCGATGGAGAAGAGAAGCGACACATAATTTTACATGCAGGAAGGAAATCGGGTTTTATAGAAGGTGCTGATTTAATATTTTTATCTAAATCAAAATTAAGTGACTATCACGATAATATGAACACAGAAATGTTTGTAAAATGGTTGCATGAAAAATTTCTCCCAGGTTTAAGTGAGCCCAGCGTAATTATTTTAGACAATTCACCTTACCATTCTGAAGTATTAAACAAAAGTCCAACGAATTCTTGCACTGTTGATAAAATTAAAGAATGGTTGACAAAGGAACATATACCATTTCCTCAATATATATTAAAATCAGAATTATTACGCTTGGCAAATATACACGCAAAACCAGAAACCTTTATTGAGGATCAGATTATTGAAAGTTACGGTCATCAAGTTTTACGTCTGCTATCGTATCATTGCCAGTTTAATCCCATCGAATATATAGACAGACGGGATAAGAGGAATGTGGTGTGATTGCTGTTCATGCTGGTGCTACGTGATATTCGGCACGCACCGAGAGGGCAGTATATTTAGTTTGTGCTGTAAAATGAGATAAGTTAAATGTGCGATTTTAACATAAATGAATTAAACAGCAAAATATTATATTTGAATTTAAGATTGCGTTTTGAAATTAAAACATATTTTCTAAAATTGCCAAACTAATAACAGTTAAAGTGTCTACTACTGTAATTTAAAAAGTCTAAATCTAATATCAACCACTCTGTATACTAATAAAGTAATAAATTCTAATGATGAACCGATAAAATATTGATAATTAAGGAATCTATCACTTTTAATTAATATAGTTGATATAAAAAATGGTCGCTAGTCTACTCGCTAATTATATTTGTGAATTGTTTTGGTCAGTATTGATAAATGTTTTATGATTTGTTTACAAAATATAAATCAAATTTAATGATTTAATTAAATAAAATTATAGCTTGTTTGACATTGTATCTATGGTAAGCATGTTGTTGGAAAATTTAAAAATTGTTTAAATAATAATTTCTAATAAATTTTACTTTAGTCTTTGATAATTATATAAGTAAACTTTTAAGTAACTTGCTATCAAGGAATTAAAATGTTTAACTTTGATTTTTATTATTTTTTAAAGCTTTCTTTTTGTTGTTTGAAAGATTATTTTGTTTGTTAAAACACGTTGAAGACCGCATTGAAAAATCTTATTTTTCACATAGGGACCGATATTTTTTTTATTGATAATTACGTATATTATTTTTTTAAATATGTTTTTAGTGTACAATAGTTTAAGGTAGACATTATTTAACCCCTAGATTTATTTCAATAAAAGTGCCCACGAAATTTTTAACAAATATCAAACTCTATAAGGAAAAGCACTTTTATTTTGTAAAAATCTGATTAAAAATGGGGCTTTAAGAGGGGGGGGGGGAACCAACATGAAATTTTTATTAGAAATCAAGGGGATGAAGTCTATTGATTCTAAAAAATATTTTCAAAAAACCAAACCGTTCTTTTGTAAACCAGACTCAGTGGTCCAGCAAGGGGGGTTTAGGGGTTAAACCCCCCCCCCCCCCCCCCAGATCCAGACGCGAACTTGAAAAAGTTAAATTAGGTAAAACATTATATTTTTTAAATATTCCCAATTTTTTTTTTTTCAAAACTCCCCCTAATACAAAATTTTGGCTGCGCCACTGTTGAATTCAGATAATATATTCGTCGGTGATATATTTTAATTTAAAAACTGCAAAATTATGCCTCATTAATATTGAAATTTTCTGTCATAACAGTCTCAAACATTAACTATATTTAAATGATGTACCCTGTAAGTCCTTCGACTGACATTCCTGCAAATCCTGATAGAGCAGGGACAGGTCAATCGATTTGCTAAATACTTACACACATGGAAGCATTCCGTTAAAGCTGTAGCGTCGATGAGATAACCCTCGCATAATCTGCAAGTTATAACGCTATTCAGATCCTTGACGTGCCTTTTCCTTCTGTCCTTGTTATCCATTATGTCGCCGTCGTCTTGTTTTACTTTCGGGAATAGATCTGCAAAGAAAGGATAATATTTCAGTATTGTATTACAGATTTTTATGTACGTAGATATAAATAGAAATCGATTTGTTTGAAAAAAATTTGATCAGGATATATATGAAACGATATGATAACGCTGGGACACAATTTATTTTGTGTTTTTAATTATTATTGTATAATATTGAGTTTAAAAATAACCTCCTTATAGATGTATCTAAAATAAAATCATCTACAATTAAACTACACGTATGATTGAAATTACTTATGTCAAACTACTGTCAATTCCAGGCAATTTTAATTTTTAATGGCCTGTTTCTATTGGAGCAGTATTATTAATTACAGTTTCAAAACTATCCTTCTAAATAAAATCAACCTCAGTAGAATCGAAATTAAAGGGGTTCATGAGACACTGGTTTTTAAATACGCTCAAATATGTAAAACTTATTGGCGATGGAAACAGCAGTGTTTACCAAAAAAATTACAGAAGAACAATGGTCCGCAAAGTAGAATGCATAAACCATCTTCTCAGGAATTATTACACAAATTTGCGTGATCTTGCGAAAAAAAAACATAGTTCACAAAACAAAATAGTAATCCAGGACTAAACAAAAAATTGAGTGATAGGATTTTGAGAAATCGGCTGTAAATTACAACAGAAAAAATACCAGTGAAGCAATTAACTGGAGACATTAAAAACTATCCTTACCACACATTTGGAAATCATTCAAACTGTGCACAATATTTTTGTAAAAGATATCAAAACTACAGAGATTATGTGACAGAAATGGAAGAATGCGGACTAATGGATGACATGGTATCTGATGGTTCAAAACAGCCACAGTTTATTATTAAACATGACTAATAATGCTGCAGAGACATAGAATTCAATTGTATCCAAATTTGTTGGAGGAAAGAGAATCAATTTTGCAGTAAACGGAGGATATAATGTTCGGTGTACAGCTGCAGCCATTACTTTTAATAAAAAAGATAATAATATTCCCACTCTTTATAAAAAGCTGTCAAAAATTGTTCCTAGGATTCACACACAAGGATTGGTTACTCAAATGAACAAACGTAGATGTAGTAAAAAAACCAGAGGCCCTCAATTAAAAAAACGTAAAAGTGGCGCAGCTAAAGATAGGGACTACGGACTTCAATGCGATGATGACGCCATCAAGCTAGAATCGGCTAGAACCGACCAGCCGGACCAGCGCGTTAGTGTTCGAGAACGATCAGTATTGCTTTGAACGGGATAAATACGCACGGCGCGGCGACATTGCGCTTAGTTTAAAACTGAACGCGTAACCAACGTCCAGCGGTTGGGTTAGTAGAGAACAACAAAAAATAATATTATGGCAAGCAGTTGTAAGAAGGTAAAGACATATCACTTTCATTCAGAATGGGAAGAACAATACTTTTTTACTGAAGTTAAAGATAAAAATGTGTGTTTGTTATGTAATACTTCGGTCTCCGTTGCTAAAAAAGGAAATATTGAGAGACATCATAAAACTGTACATTCTAATTTTGAAAAATCATTCCCACTACATTCTGCCGCCAGAAAGGAGAAACTGAAACAGTTAAAAAAGCAGTTAATTGGACAAAAATCAATATTTTTAAGAACAGTCGACAAAAATAAGGCTGCAACTGAAGCATCGTACCGTGTGTCCCAGATAATTGCACAAAAAAAGAAACCTTATGAAGACGGGGAAATGATAAAACAGGCGTTTTTAGAAGCTGCTGATTGGTCATTTGCCAACTTTAGAAATAAAGACGAGATAGTTTCAGCTATAAAATCTATGCAACTTTCTGCTAATACAGTGATGAGACGTGTAGAAGTAATGAGCAATGATATTTTTTTACAGTTAAGAACTGACTTAGATAACTGTGTTTATTTTTCACTTCAACTGGATGAATCAACAGATGTCGTTGACACTGCCCAGATGGCCGTGTTCGTCAGGATGGTTTTTAGTGATTTTACGATTAAAGAAGATCTTTTGAAGTTTATTCCACTGAAAGGACACACTACTGGACAGGAGTTGTTTTCTCATTTAAAAAAAATTTTTCTTCCGAGAAAATTCCAATATCGAAAATGGTAGGCTTGACAACCGATGGCGCTCCAGCTATGGTGGGTTGTGATAAGGGTCTGGTGGCGTTATGTCGTGAAGATGAAACTTTTCCGCAATTTCTCTGTTACCACTGCATTATCCATCAGCAAGCATTATGTGGAAATTTCCTGAAACTAAACAACGTTATGAAACTGGTGGTAAAAATTGTGAACAAGATTAAAGCTCAAGCGTTACAAAGAAGATTATTCAAAACCTTGGCCGATGAAGTTGACTGTCAATACGGGGACCTACTCCTTCACTCTGAAGTCCGATGGTTAAGTAGAGGACGGGTACTGAAACGTTTTAATGATGTCCTATCTGGCATAGTTCAATTTTTCAAACAACGCGATGAACCGACTCCGGAACTAGAAAATTCAATCTGGCTTAAAGATTTTGGTTTTCTCGTGAACATTACAGAGAAGTTAAACGAACTTAATTTGCAACTTCAGGGGAGAGACAAAGAACTACCGGAAATGATTTCTGATATAAAAGCATTTATCAAAAAGCTGGAGTTTTACGAACAAAACCTAATTAACAGCAATGCCAACATTTTCCTATTCTTTCAGAAAAAATATCTCAAAATCCATTAGAACCCTATGACAGCAAATATCATGTAGAAATAGTTTCTACCCTGAAGAATAACTTCAAAAATCGTTTTAAGGATTTCAACGAAATGGCTTTAGTAGCGCAGTTTGTTGTTTCACCCTTTATGGAAATTGATATCCAACAGTTTGCAACTTGTGTTATGCAGAACTTTGGCGAAGACATCGCTGCAACAGAAATGGAAGTAATTGAGTTTTTGAAAATGATTTAGCCTTAAAATCGTTAGTCTCAAGTACCAAATGTATCTGGCCTATTGTAAGTAAAGACAAATATTCAGTTCTATGCCGTGTTGCCTTGAAAGTAAAAGCATTATTCAGTTCAACCTATTTGTGTGAATCTCCTTTTTGCAATATGAAGTTTATTAAGAACAAATATCGCAATCGACTTACAGATGAACATTTGGATAATTGTATTCGAATGGCTGTATCAAATTATACTGCAAACATTAAAAAAATTATCGATGAGTCTGAGTGTCAGCCTTCTCATTGAACGTGCTTTTTTATTTTTCAATGTTTATGTTCATGATAGTGCGTTACTTTTCTGTTGTTATTATTAACTATTTTTAAATCTTACGTGACATGCCGTTGTGGCTGGATAAAAGTTTGTGTTTATTTTTCAAACACCTTCGTTTGGTAGGTAGGAATGTAGCTATGAACAAGTACGTACTAGTAATATTAGTTATTTTGTTATTAGTTTATTATTAGTACCTATGTATTATGTATTACCAGTTAAATAGTAAAATAAATACATATAATGATAAATTAACTGTGGATTATTTCATTTACGTTGCGTTACGTGGCTTCCGTGTGGGTAGCTCACTCTTTATTTCAAAATTAACAAAGTAGCTCAACACATTGAGAGGTTGGCGACCACTGATATACACTGTGCTATTCTTTTAGAGCTAGGACAATTGTCCTGTTAATGTAGGGCATTTCACTCGCATCATAGGGAGAGATTGCCAAAAACGCCATTTTGATTTTTCAAATATAAGCCTGTAATTATTGCATATTTTTCAAAAACAACACATTATATGTGTTTCTGATTAAAAACCATACACTTTAATTTTTTTTGAGGTTTTGGTCCCTCAATTTTGCGAAGTTACAATTTTTTTTAGTTAAGTGGGGCAAAAATCCCGGAATTATTTAATTAATTTTTTTGTGATTGTATTTTATGTGAAATAAAATGTTTCATTAAAAATATGTTTTTTTTATTTAAGTATTTAATTTATTTTGACCTATTTTTACTTTTAGTGAACGAAGAAAAGATAAAATCAATACATTATATTTTTTTATAAAATTTAAACATATAAATAATAAAATTATGTTCAAAAAATTTTTCGTCTACACTACAAATTGTAAGATTGATGCGATTATTAAAAAAAAAAAAAACAAATATTTTATATTATGTACTACTGTATATTAAAGCACTTTCCAAAAATCAGTTTCTTACTTTAAATATACCATAAATAAAACCATCCAAACCTTTCGCGTAGGTACCAAGTGTATATTATTTTAAAAATATATAAAATTATTTGATTGATATTCAGGAGATACCTTTCTTTTTAATAGAAAAGGTATCATATATTTATTACTGCAATAGAAAGTATATCAGAAAAATATATTGTTTCAACACTTTCTTCAATGTTTCTTTAACTTATTTTCAACCACACTTATTCTATAACTCACTAGCAAATGACGATGTGTAGCACCTTTGCTTTTCAATTTTACAGTACCATTAAAAAATATGAAGAATAATTTCAGGAACTGAAATCGAGTTGCACGACTTCAAAATAACAAAAAAAATCAACTAATAATTCAAAAGTAACAAGAATAGAGCAGCATAACATGAAAGAATTAGCAGAGCACCATAAGATTAAGTTGCATAAAGCTGTGCAAGAACACCAGCGCTAGCAGGGGTCAGTAGGAAGTGGGCGTTAAGTTGGGAGGGGCCCATCGCTCTCCCGACCTGGCCAAGCATGACAACGCCAACTACTACCGAATCAATTATCTACCGGTAAATAACACCTGGACCTGAAACGAAAGGATTGTGTGCATCCACGATGGCTTTGCATTTACCTCTTCGTTCGTCTCGTCATCATTCGTTTGTTAGAGGGTCCACTGTGACAGTGATTGATTGCCTTGCGTTAAGTTAATAGGTAGGGGAATTATTGTAGTAACGAAAGAGTTTAAATAGAGATTAAATAGAACATAAGCTGATTTTTATTATCTCCACCATTTATTTTTTATTTATTATCAAGAGAGAGTGCTAA